CCCTTCCATCTTCCTGCTACCTTCTTGCTTCTTCCTGCCTCCTTGCTTCCTGCCCCCTTCCATCTTCCTGCCTCCTTCTTGCTTCTTCCTGCCTCCTTCCATCTTCCTGCTTCCTTCCATCTTCCTGCCTCCTTCCTTCTTCCTGTCTCCTTTCCTCTTCCTGCCTCCTTGCTTCTTCTCTTTTCCAGCCTCCTACCTTCCTTCATCCTGCCACGCTTCTTCCCTCTTTCTTTCTCCTTCCTGCCTTCTTCATTCCTCCTGCTTTTGCCTGTCTCTTTTTCCTCCATCCCTCGTGCCTCCTCCCCCCTTTCTACTCTCTCTCTCTCTCTCTCTCTCTCTCATATATATATATATATATATATATATATATATATATATATATATATATATATATATATATATATATATATATATATATATGTGTGTGTGTGTGTGTGTGGAAGTTATATTTGTGTATGATACCTGTTTGTGTAGATTACTTGTAAAAGCTGTGTATGAAAGCAGTAAGTGAAAATTCACCTGTTAAAATTATATAGTATAGGAAAGCTGGACGTTATATTAAAAATATAAATGAAAGTTACATGTGTGAGGGGGTTGGTGAGAAGAATGAGAGGAGAAATCGTGGTGTTTGTAAATAGTTAATATGGAAGACGTGTTGTCGCTGTACCTGACGCCCCACGCTGCCTGGTCGCCAACTATTACGTGTCAATAATTTTTTGTTTGCAGCGACAACCTGTGAAAAATATTGATGTTGGCGTCCGTGTACTAGGCGACAACAAGAGGCAGCTGTACCTCGGTGCTGTGTAGGACAGAGCCAGAGTCGACTGAGAAAGATGGAGTGAGAGGAGTAATTTAACACGTTGGGCGTTACACAATAGACTGATCTACGGTAAACTTACTGAGAGTGAAGTATTGTCGTCAGTGTTCAGAATATAGATGAGTCTTCAGTAAACTCTCCCTGACTTAGTACAGTGACCACCTTAATGTACTGTACGTGCCTTGTGATGGTGTCAAGGTCCTTATGGTCTGTGTATTTCAGTCAATCCTTAAGGCTGTCTTCTATAATGACACACACACACACACACACACACACACACACACACACACACACACACACACACACACACACACACACACCGTCAACACCTCCTCCTGGACACATACAGTGATGGCTGGTGATGGTGGTGGAGATAAACCAGATGGAAGCCACAGGTCAGTGTAGTGGAGGAGCACCACACCACACCACACCACACCACACCACACCACACCACACCACACCACACCACACCACACCACACCACACCTACTACAGTATATTGCTCTTGATTAACTCCTCCCTATAATTGTGGGAAAAATATACAGTATATTTATTTTGCATATTATCTCTTGACCTACAGTACACATGGTCCTGGCGTGGCAGAGAGGTCACAGAGCTACTGCAGTAAACATGGGTGTCGGTAGTTAAGGCTCCATATATTGTTTATGTTTCCTCTCGAAGCTGTTTCTTTTGTTTTTAATGTGATGTATTTCTGACTGTACACATATAACTGTCCATACTTGTATCGATATTTCATGCTTGAAAAATTAAACACATGATAAATACTTAATCTACTGCCACTTTGTGTGTGTGTGTGATGCACCCCGCAGGCAGTAGTGTGGTGTACACAGCCAGTCATAGAAGCCATCATGACTCCCTTAAGGCCTCATTATCAGTTTATTTCCTCCATCAAGTGTCGCTCCAGGCCACTCACGTTCATCTCTGACTGGTTAATGTGTGCATGTGACTGTCTCACTGGTAGTGTCTCCTAGACTGGAGTGGCAGCTCACTATCATTCTGGTACACGGTGGCTGTTTTAGACAAGAGTCGTGAACTGGAAGTGAACTATACTGAATAAGGTGTCATTTTTAGAGCTGTGGCCTTAACCTTTGACATTGTAAGTAGAAACATTAATACAGACGGCGCTGCCCGCCCTACTCCAGCGATTCTGTGAGCTTGAGTGGCTGAGGTGAACTAATGTACAGCTCCTCGACTAGGCCAAGTGAAGAGGGGTAATGTGCGGGATGTATACAGTATAGTGTGATATGAACAAGGTGCATTTATAACCTCCTCTACTCACTGTGGCTGAGTAAATACAGACCTCACTTCTTGTCCTAAGAGTCACTGGTTCGTTCATAGAGCACCTGCAGTCCTCCCTGTAGTAAATGGGTAACTAACTTTACGGTTGGGGATGGAAAGGCTGTCAAGTGCAGAGCTGTTCTCACTGCCTCCGTGTTTACTGTGTGCTAGAACCAGGCCTAGGGGAGATACTCTCTCTCTCTCTCTCTCTCTCTCTCTCTCTCTCTCTCTCTCTCTCTCTCTCTCTCACACACATTTTCAAAATCGTCTCTTTCCCACTTCCTAAATCTTCCCGTTATCTCTCTCTCTCTCTCTCTCTCTCTCTCATCCTTTCCACTTCCCTCTCTCACACCCCTTCCCCCTCTCCTCTCCCTGGCTCTCACTTTTATGGGCGGCATGTCGACAAAAGGCATTTCTGGAGTCGTGATGAAAAATGAGCCAAGTTTGCGTCCTCGTTATTGGTCATTAGGACGAATATGAAATGTAAATGTGGCGGCCAATGAGCTCAGTATGCAAACACCAGCCGCCACTGTGCTAAGGCGAGGTTTTGTCTTTTTTTTTATATATCTGTGAGAGGGGATGAGTATGTGGTGGTGTGGTGGTATGGTAATGGGGTGGTGTGGTGGTGTGGTGGTGTGGTGGTGTGGTAATGGGGTGGTGTGGTAATGGGGTGGTGTGGTGGTGTGTGTGGTAGTGTGGTAATGGGGTAGGAATGGGGTAGGGGTGGTGTGGTAATGGGGTGGTGTGTGGTGTGGTAGTGTGGTAATGGGGTGTGGTGGTGTGTGTGGGGTGTGTGGTGGTGGGTGTGGTAGTGTGTAATGGGGGTGGTGTGGGTAATGGGGTGGGGTGGTGGTGGTGTGGTGTGGTAATGTTGTGGTGTGGTGGTGGTAATGGGGTTGTGTGGTGGTGTGGTGGTGTGGTAATGGGGTGGTGTGGTGGTGTGGGTGTGGGTGGTGTGGGTGTGGGGTGGTGTGTGTGGGTAGTGTGGTAATGGGGTGGTGTGGTAATGGGGTGGTGTGGTGGTGTGGTGGTGTGGTAATGGGGTGGTGTGGTGGTGTGGTGGTGTGGTAGTGTGGTAATGTGGTGGTGCGGTGTTGTGTTGTAGTGGTGCTGTGATGCAGTGGTGTTGCGGTGTTGATATGGTGTTATGTAGTGACGTTATGAGGTTGTGTTGTAATGGTGTTGTGGTGTAGTAGTAGTAGTGTTATGGTGTTGTGGTGTGGTCGTAGTATAGTGCTGATGTGGCATAGGGGTGTTGTGGTGTACCAGCGGCAGGGGGCGTGATCCAGGGGGACTAGGTATGGGACCTTATATGAATGACTTATCAGTTATTATTGTTTATTATTCTTTACTAAATTGCTTTAAATTGATTATTATTATTAGTTCTCTTGTTCATAATTGGCATAAATATATATTACTTTTGTAGTTATTTCAATTGATAATTATACATGTTCATTGTCTTACGATTTACAATAACATAATGAACTCGTTAACAATTATAGATTAGTTCATTATTTATTTTATTGTTAGGGCAGATGTATGAAAACTTGCCATGATCTTATAATGATAGTGGTGATGGTGGTAGTAATGATAGTGGTGATGGTGGTAGTAGTTATAGTGGTGATGGTGGTAGTAATGATAGTGATGATAGTGGTAGTAATGATAGTGGTGATGGTGGTAGTAATGATAGTGGTGATGGTGGTAGTAGTGGTGAATAATAGTGGTGATGGTGGTATAATATGGTGATGGTGGTAGTAATAATAGTGGTGATGGTGGTAGTAATAATAATGATGATGGTGTGGTAATGATAGTGATGATGGTGGTAGTAATGATAGTGATGATGGTGGTAGTAAGATATAGTGGTGATGGTGGTAGTAATAATAGTGGTGATGGTGGTAGTAGTGGTGATGATGGTAGTAATGATAGTGATGATGGTGGTAGTAATAATAGTGGTGATGGTGGTAGTAATGATAGTGATGATGGTGGTAATGATAGTGGTGATGGTGGTAGTAATAATAGTGGTGATGGTGGTAGTAATGATAGTGATGATGGTGGTAGTAATGATAGTGGTGATGGTGGTAGTAATGATAGTGGTGATGGTGGTAGTAATGATAGTGGTGATGGTGGTAGTAATAATAGTGGTGATGATGGTAGTAATGATAGTGATGATGGTGGTAGTAATAGGAGTAGTGGTGGTAGTAATAATAATGGTGATGGTAGTAATAATAATGGTGGTGGTGGTGGTGGTGGTGTAAACAAGCTAAGGTTAATGGTGATGAAGAGAGGCAGGATATAAATAGGGTAATTGATGGTAGTTATGGTGAATAGCGTTGATTAAAGGGTGATTATGGCTGGGTAATAGTGGTTGTAGTTGTTGTTGTTGTTGTTGTTGTTGTTGTTGTTTTAAGTGACGTTGTTGTTGTTGTTGTTTTAAGTGACGTTGTTGTTGTTGTTGTTGTTGTTGTTGTTAGTGTTGTCTTTATGTGTACTTGACTGTTGTTGTAGTTATTGTTGTTGTTAATGATGTTTTTTTTTTACTTTGTTTGTGTGACTTAATGTTGTTGTTGGTGTTACTTTCTTGTTGTGTTTGTGTGACTTGTTGTTATTGTTTTCATGTGACTTTTGTTGTTTTTGTTTCTGCTAGTTTGTATAATTAACTGATATATTATATAACTATTATTAAGCATACAGTTACATATTATTATATACATTAGATATTTCACGCTGTATCAAGACCGGGAAAAACAGGTTTATTTAATGTGTCCAAAAGATAAAACATCATGACTAGAAGATACAGTTTTAAGTCCAAAATACCAAAAGCCCAACTTCAAATACCAAAACCTTAGGATTATACATTGAAATATAAAACCCACGTCACCGTGAGTTAACCTCCGAGAAAATCCCATAAAACTGAGATGTTGTTGACGTGGTGTGGACGACCAGGGTCCTCAAACCTTTGACTTGAGACCTTGAGAGAGAGACCACTGTTACCAGATACTGTTGGTGGTAGACCTTCACTGTTACCAGATACTGTTGATGGTAGACCGTTACTGTTACCAGATACTGTTGATGGTAGACCGTTACTGTTACCAGATACTGTTGATGGTAGACCTTCACTGTTACCAGATACTGTTGATGGTAGACCGTTACTGTTACCAGATACTGTTGGTGGTAGACCTTCACTGTTACCAGATACTGTTGGTGGTAGACCTTCACTGTTACCAGATACTGTTGATGGTAGACCGTTACTGTTACCAGATACTGTTGATGGTAGACCGTTACTGTTACCAGATACTGTTGATGGTAGACCTTCACTGTTACCAGATACTGTTGATGGTAGACCGTTACTGTTACCAGATACTGTTGGTGGTAGACCTTCACTGTTACCAGATACTGTTGATGGTAGACCTTCACTGTTACCAGATACTGTTGGTGGTAGACCTTCACTGTTACCAGATACTGTTGGTGGTAGACCTTCACTGTTACCAGACACTGTTACTGGTAGACTTTCCCGTTCAATTCTATAAAACTTCGTTTTTACTCTCTCTCTCTCTCTCTCTCTCTCTCGTGTCAGGTCTGTGTTTTGGGATCTTAATAAAGAGATAAAATAAGAGATGGTGCAAAAAAGAAAGAAAGAAAAAGAAAGAGGAGAAAAATAAAAATTAGTCCACAAACTATAAATACACACACACACACACTATATATATATATATATATATATATATATATATATATATATATATATATATATATATATATATATATATATATATATACAGAGAGGGAGAGAGAGAGGTTCCTTTGATTTTTGCCAATATACAGTGGAACTATACAACACATTGCTTCACTAGATTTCAACAGCTGGTGTGTGTGTGTGTGTGTGTGTGTGTGTGTGTGTGTGTGTGTGTGTGAGAGAGAGAGAGAGAGAGAGAGAGAGAGAGAGAGAGAGAGAGAGAGTATACGCATTATAACCCTGTCAGGCTTTTACTTCAAAATATTGGTCGTAAAGGGTAATATTTGTCAAAAAGTTGAGCCATGTGGAAGTGGTCGACTGGCTAGTTGTCCACTCAGTCAACTTTTGTGTGTATACGTTCACCTCACCAGTCAACTTTTGTGTGTATGTATTACTAACCTTACCAGTTAACTTTTGTGTATACATCCATTCAAACTGTTGACTGTCACTCCAGTTAATGATTGGGAACACAGTCATTTTACAGTCAACACACGAGACCTAAAATATTTGTGATTTCTCTCACACGGGTATTATTCCTTATCTCTTATGCCCATATTTGTGTTTGAGTGTATGTAGTGTTTGTGTTTAAAGAACCTTTAGGGAGAGTCCAGCCCTTGGTATCACCCCCCCCCCCCACCTTACTAGCTGCTACACTGTTACGCTGGCAACGGTCACCCTCCACCTCTCACCGCGTCAGAACTAAGTAACCTTGTACTCATACTTGCCAGCAGTTTATGAAAAAAATCATCTCTTATAATTTCAGTCAATGAAGTGTCTCAGAAACTTACTGACTCGTCCAAGCGTTGGTACAGGTGGTACAGGTGTGTGGTACAACATGGGGGCGTGGGGCTGGTGTTGCTTGCCCCATCTTCGAAAAATGTAAAGATTAGTTGAAAAGGATATTCGTCTTAGGAAAGGGCTGAAGTTCATCTGCAATACAATTCACAGCAACAGTGACGTACTTGTGGAAGCTTCCAACACTCATCAAGTTATAACAATAAAATGTGTTGGTGTAGCGACGCCCTCACTAAGTGACCAAGACTGGGAACAAGTTGTCCAGTCCACCACCAATATAGTTATCATGGCGGCTCACCAGGAGACCGTACCACAACCCCCGCAGTGGCAGCAGCCCTCCACTAGGAGACAGAAGACGACCTTAAAACCTCAAGTTAAACCTAACAAATAGCCTTGTTTACACCCAATCCCCCGTCTCAACTGACGGCTCATAGTAGACATTTTACCCTCTGTGTTCTCCGCTGTGACTACTGAAGACACACAACACACTGCCGGCCTCGCGCTGCCGACGAAAACCAAAAATTATCTTGTCTCAGCTCTCACTGTCGAGGAAGCGGCCCAGACAACAGTGTTATTACCAACACTGCCAGGAGACCCGATATTACGAGCTGCACAGTACCTCAGGTGATCCTTTATGGATTAAAGGAACTCAGAGTCCTCCCCTGTACTGTGCCAAACACCAAGAGCAGCCACGGTACCCTTATATTCCTCTCGGCTGTTGTTCGTGACTTAAGAACGAATTTTAAGAACTAATCATATATGGCCGTCATACACTATGCTGGCGCCATAATATGTATAGAAATATTCCCTTGGACGGAAAACTGAATTAGCTGTTTACTTATCAAATGATCTTTATATTCAGTCTCCATAAAGAGCAGTTCCTCGTGTTCCGGAGATCATGTTTTTCCGACTCAGTTAGCAGTTCACATCTCGTACTTCCTTGTGCACTACAAGAGGCCTCGGTGTGAGACCTTCAACCACATCACTTTATGCGTGACAACTAAGACAAACTCTTGCAAAGAAATAGTTGTCCAGGTGTTATGGTGACAGGTGATAGGAATCAATATTTACTAGAAGATATATCCAATGAATACCTCTCATTATTAACTTCCGACACACCTGTAAAATCTTCCCTTGACTGTTATGTCACACCTGCCTCACTTGTTCATACCTTGAGTTCTCAGTTCCATCGGTGCGTCAGATCAATATACTATACATTGTACTATATTATACTCACCTGTACTGACACACAATGATCAGGAAAACCTGTAACTTCTGACTTATCCTATTAATACCAACTGATACTCTGTCCTAGGCTTACTTGATGAATATATATATATATATATATATATATATATATATATATATATATATATATATATATATATATATATATATATATATATATATATATATATATATATATATATAATGTTATATTATACAGTTGTTTATCTCTTTTGTTTATCTCCATCTAATTACATTTTATCGGTTTTATCTTATTTACCTCACGCGTTAATATTTACCCATTCTCTATGATCTTATATTTCAGTATTAATTTGTTCTCTCTCCAAAAACTTACACACAGTGGCGTTGTGTTCCTGCGTGTGTTGGTCTCATATTATCAATATAAAACTGAAGGTTTTCGTCGTTGAGAACATGTGCTGGTAATAAAGAGAAGAATACGATGATATTATACACAGCGTTATCAGGTGGTAATAACACTGAGCAAAACATTTAAATATTGAGCTGTTTGGACCTATATTTCCAACGGGGAAAAAGTAAATAAAAGAAGTATACGTCACAGAAAAAACAAACATTATTAGGGTTCAAAGGTGTGGACGAAACATAAGAGGATCAGAAGCGTAGTGTTAGAATCATTAACTGGAGGACCCGCAGAATGGGATTTGTAAACAAGCGAAAACGTCGTCGTCTGTTTTTAAATACGAGAAATGGAAAGCTATAATTCCTATTTTTTTGGGTCAACTACAGTTCTTGAGCGTCGTTGCAGAAGACGATATTGGGCAAAAATTGAGTTAAATTGAGTTGGTCTTGTCTTGGTAGGATAATTGTGCGGGAGGATAAGCGACTTTGAAGCAGCGTGAGGTCTGGGAGGGCAGCCGTCAGCGGTGGCGGGTTCTCACGGTATATCAGACGGGTGCTCCAGGCTCATACCCCACAACGACCCCAATACTAATAAAACTATATTTTTCACGAGCATATTTTCCAGCGGTGTTATTAATTACGTCGTGTTGGGCTCTGTGGGAGGGAGGAGGAGGAGGAGAGGACGAGGAGGAAGGAAGGAAGGAAGGGGTGGAGGAGGAGGAGAGACAGGGGAAGAGGACAAGGGTAAAATTGTCTGCAACTCTTGTTATGAGGTGCGTGTTGTTTGAAGTTGCTGGTGTTCTCTCTCTCTCTCTCTCTCTCTCTCTCTCTCTCTCACACAACACAACTAAGTTCTTATAAACGCGTATGCTAGGTGAGTAGATGCAGTAATAACGAACGAAGAAAAATAAATTGATAAATAGAGAAATATTGAGTTACAGATAAATATTTTTGAGGTGTGATGCCTGAGGTGTATCAATAAGGCTTCATGTTAGTGCTGCTCACATGTAATTAATTAGTCACCTGTAGGTTTGATGGGGGAAGAGGCACACCTGTCATGATTATACAGGGTGGTGCATAAGTCGCGGTCCTGTTCGTGGTATTCTCCAACATCGTGCGACCACCCCCCCTCCCCCTCCCCACCTCTAGAACACGTCCTATGTATAAAGGGCTGTCAGAAATACACACTATAAAGCATGGTTTAAATACAACAGATTAAGAATTTTTTTTTCACTCGTAAACGTAACTTAACATCGTCCCAGCTGAGGCCTCGAACATAGCGGGAATATCAAGTGTGTGTTTGAGGCGCAATTTTTCCTGATATTAAATTTTTAGATCATTAGGCAAACTGTGTCCACCTTCCTGACTGCCCGAGATGGTGTTTCAGCCCTCAGCCCCCACCCGCCCTCCCTAGGTCCTTGTTAATTAACTGATGTCTAGTCCCATTAACCTAGGTCTTTTAGCCGACTTTCCCGCGCCTCCAGCCCCCTCACCCGCAGGTCCCCCACACTGCACCCCCCACCCGCAGGTCCCCCACACTGCACCCCTCACCCGCAGGTCCCCCACACTGCACCCCCACTTACCTTTACTAATCTCTTATAATGAAACACAAATATAAATATCGGTCAGATTTTACTCACTCATAATGCTTCGATAATGTACTGTTTTCTGCCATCAAAATATATTGTACTTTTTCTTCATTGCAAATTTACAAAACTTTCACAATTTTTTTAACGTTATTTCTTCATCCAGAAACTACATATTTTCAGGCTCAAAAATAACATTATTTTTCCATAAAGGTCGTGTAATTCTCAACCAAAATATCACATGTATTTCTGCGTCAAAAAAAATGGTCAGGTCTTCCCGCTTAAAAAAAAAGAAGTTATTTAAATCTACATAAAAATATACAACGTGTGTGTGTGTAAAATATTGCCTTTGATAATTTGTCACAAACTCCTGTAATTTGCATAAAGATGTAATAACTCTGCGTCAACACTGTAATGCATCACTGTAATAATGTTCCACTTGTAGTTCTGTTACAAAATTTACTTTATTACTGCACCCAGAAATTTACTCCATTTCTTCATTAACATTCCCCTCAATTTTTTTATTAATGTTGAAGGTAATTTTACACTACAGAGTTAATGTTGTTTTCCATAAATATTTACTGTTGTTTATCAGTAATATTTCACTGTATTTTTTGTATAATATAATATTTCCCTATATTAATACATTAGAATATACTGTATTTCTTCAGTAATATTTCAGTGTAATTTTCTGTAACTCTTAAGGGTATTATTCCTTCATAACAGTAATTTCGCAGTTACTTTCATTGATACTTTTCTTTATTTATACTTTAAAGTGGAAAAAAGGTAGACTATTTCACCATAAACAATAACAAAGTCCTCATAACAATCAAGGTATTTAATTCTTTATATACGATCTTAATTCTCTCTCCCAATTATCCAGTATTACAAGTTCTTATGTATTTCATGGGCATTTAATCTCAAACAAAAGGGTCGAGTAAACATTAGTAGTTATTGTTTACATAAAAAGTGATGGTAATTAAATGTGGCTTATACGTCTCTCTTCCCGTGTTTAAAATGTCTCTTTGTGTGTGTGTGTGTGTGTGTGTGTGTGTGTGTGTGTGTGTGTGTGTGTGTGTGTGTGTGTGTGTGTGTGTGTGTGTGTGTGCGTGTGTGTGTGTGTGTGTGTGTTGGTCGCTTATTGGGTTTTTATGAAGGGTAGCTATTGGATTCGCTATGGTGTCTGACGGATTTGGGATTCGCGAATACAGGAACTAAAATATAACTTAAAATATTATGGATCTTAGGCTTTTAAAAGGTTATAGCAGCCGAGTGGATACAACGCTTACCTCCTCTCCTATGAGTTGCTAGTTCTCCCGGGTCACTCCTAATCGACCCAGTTGTGAATGGGTACCTGACTTACCTAGAGAAGTGAAGGGGGTCGAGTACAGTATGTGACACTTAGCTTCTTCAGTGTGCTAAATCCGCCCTACACCATCTTAAATTTTGGCAATGTATATCGGAGTTTGTAGTCGCGAATAAATTAACTTAAACTTTGGCGCCCTACAGTATACCTGAGTACAGATGAGTGAATGTAGACCGGACTCTTGATTCGTGTATTGGGTGTAGACAAAAAATTAAATCTTATGGGAGGAGATATTTCCCTACTGGTTGTATTAGAGTGTGTGTGGAACAAGGTGGTGTAGGGAACATGTGTAACCACTGACTCACAACCACAATACTTTCAGCAATTTACAACTTTTCTTTAACATACAACCATAACAGGGCATTAGAATATAACAGTCAAAAATTATGTAGAACTATTAAGCAGTCACTATTTAGAGTAATTAGTAGTCAACTTTTTATTGTTGTCTTCGTTAACTATAAAAGATTAACAACAACTATACGATAATAATTACAGTATATACTACAGTCATTAATACAAAATTATCCCTAATCCTAATCACTCCTTAACAACTTCTGTATTCAACATTTCATCAGAACTCATTAAGTAAACGCAAACAATCATTAGGCGTAACCCAACGAGTAATTAGAGGAGGTGGGCAGTTAAGGAAGAGCGTGGAACAAGTGGCAGCGATCAGAGTAGTTAAGCGTGCCTCTGACCACCGCTCAGTAGTACTCCTTTACTTTTATGGCCTCAAATAACGACACAAAAACGACTCGTTAAGTGTCTGCCGCATTTCGTTAATCAAGGCATTGTTGGTGTGTGTGTGTGTGTGTGTGTGTGTGTGTGTGTGTGTGTGTGTGTGTGTGTGTGTGTGTGTGTGTGTGTGTGTGTGTGTGTGTGTGTGTGTGTGTGTGTGTGTGTTGATAAAGAAATGGGTGGTAGATGAAGTAGGGGAAAGTGTGAGTCTGTGCGTAGGTAGGGGGTAGGGAGGGGTGAGGTGAGGGTAGGAGAAGAGAAAGAGGAAGTATGTATGTGTAGAGGGAGGGGAGATGTGGTGGGGAAAACTGAGGGGAGGGTTTTCGGGGGAGAAAGGAGGTGTGGCAGGGGAGATGTGAGGGGAGGTGTGGGGAACAGAGTGTGCGGGTGAGAGGGGAGAGGGGAGTTGTGGTGAGGGGAGGATGTTTGGGACAGTGTGTGTGTGTGTTTTGTTATTTTGTGTATACTGTATATATATTTATGTCTGTCTGTGTGTCTGTGTCTCTGTATTCGCGAACATACATGTGAGTGTACATCTATGAATATTTTGTCAGTGTCTACACAAGTGCATGTGTGTAAATATTTGTTCACTCACTCACCGTAACCACACATGTACACACACCGAAGGACTACATATATGCACACCTGTGAATGTTCATATGTAAATGAGTGGGCCGCCTTTCTTGCATACATTTAGCCAGGGAGTAAATGGCTGTGAACTAAAACCTAACACAGTTTTACAGCTCCATAAATTACACGCTTTTAGCCTTTATACTTTTATCTGCTACCAAACACCATCATTAAACGAGAAGAAAATAAACAATTTCTTAACGTGACACCGACGAGATCAAGTGATTATGGCGGTCAGTGTACCTTGACAACCCTGAGAATTTTT